AAAGAGGAAGAAGAAGGTTAGCCTTTTACAACTGATGACATATCTTTATTTTCATTAATAGATAAATTTGATGAATTCCAGGTAGTTTAGCATTGACTGGGATATCATGATTGGCAATAGGATTTGGATTGGACTGCTAATGAATAATATCTCAGGACTGTATTTTTCAGAAAATTACTTCCTAGGAAAAGAAAGGGTCATATTTAGCTGGACTACTCCCAAAGGCTTTTGCTTCAACTGTGGTATAAGCTAAGTATTTCTGAAAAAAATTATTTGAGATTATAAGTAAGGAAAGCTGCCTAAAACTATCTGATAGGAAGTGTCTAACTCAGGAATGTATAGGGAATTTAGGCTATCTGAATATGGTCATAATTATATTATTTCCATCACACTAATATATAATGAAAACCATCATATTTAATATCCTTATGGATTGTATTGTGTTCAGTTTGGATTTCAGTTTCCATTTTCTGTATTTTCTGATGCATCTTGTCCCACAGCTCAAATCTGCCAGCAAGAAGCCATCGCAATAAATGTTTGGTCTGGGAAGTTGTACATTTAACTAATGTAATGAAAATATGCATAATATGTTTCTTAATTTTCATTATTTATTTTTAAGACACTGTGTTTAAAAGATGATGTCCTGGAAGTATGATTGTTTTCCTTAATCACAAGTAAACTCTCTATTTCACAGCTTAACAGAAGACCTCATCACCTGAAAATGTTGCTTCATCTATTTTTTTACACTGAAAGGCCAAGTTAGTTTGCTATTAATTAAACTTCCTAAGTCCCCAAGCCCTAAAGTTCTTGCACACGTTTACACTCTGTTGTAACTTTTTAGTCTTCATCACTTTGCTTGTAGTACAAACAAATATTACATTTTAAATACAAGAAACTGTTTATTTCTGTTGTTTTACTAATTTTTGTTTACATATAAAATGCAGAATACTGTGAAATATTTTTAAGATAAGAAGTAATTTAACAACTATATCTCCATTTTAGGAAGTCCAGACTCCAAATGTTGCCATGGATTGCGAAATTATTCCTCAGTAATTCCCTTCACAGCTGTTGTGAAATATAGTTTTTTCTGTTGATCTTGGAACTATTTTTCACTCGATATCAGGATTAATTAGTTTGCTGGTTTTGAAATGTAATACAAACACCACATCTTCATTCAGGCTCTCTTTTAATATGCAACAGTCTTGAAGAAATTGTTCACCAGCAGTGGGAGCTGCTCTATAGTAGAATTTTTAAGAGAGAAGTGTGGAGAGATTTTTGCCTTTGATCAATATTTATGGGGAACTGAATTTCTTACATTTATCAACATTTATGAACTTGTATCTGAAGTAGGCTGGGAATGCTTAGAACCTTCTCCAATCAATTAGAAGTACCGTACCTAGGAAAAAAGCTACAGTTCTGTTCATTAAAGTGGTTACTAGGTACAGCTGAGATGATGACCCTGATGATTTTTGCTGACAAATGTTTATTTAACTTTCATAGGTCCAGTTTTCTGAGCAGTGTTCTGAAATGGAGAGCACATGATCCACTATGTTCACAGGATGCCAGGCCTGTCCCATTCACAGCTGCTTCCTTCTATAATGGCTGCATTAATGATTAAAACAAAAAAATATATATATCTTACAACTTGGCAGCAAACATTTAGGGCAGACAACATTCAGAGCAGTGAAGCACTTGAGGAGATTTCCTGATGAGGTTGTAGAGCCTTTGTTACCAAGAGCCTTTAAGAGCAACTTAGAAGAAGAACAGCAGTACAATTCATTAGGATTGTGATATGTACTAAATGACATCTCAAGATTGCTTCCAGCTCTGTGAGCCGGGGATTTTGACTCAGTTCTTAACATTGTCAGCATACGCCAGAAGCTCAGTCAGATTCAAGTATCCCCCACAATCATTCATCCCATAGGAAACCTTGGCTAGATACGTGGGCTTTGCATCATGTCCTGAGGGTTGTATTAATTTATCCTATCAGCAGCATGTCGTAGGGTCTCAATTTCTCTGGCACCTTATCTTGAGGTTGCAGTTGAACATACCTTTGCTACAGTGAGAATGAGACTGCAAGAATTTTTTAGACAAGATTTAGTTCATCCTTCCCCACTTTTAAACAAAATATCCCACATCCACTGAGTGCAAAAGACTTGTAGCATAGGTTTCTAGACTCACAAAGCCTTCTTTCTTCTCAAAGAAAATAGTATTTACTTTACAGGATTAACTGAAAAATGGAATACTATGCCATAGACATCTTGCTCAGAGTAGTACTTTAGTTTTGCATCGCATCTGGAAGAAGTCCTGAAAAAATGCAGGCTGTTAGGATCCCACCTGGCCTGTGTGTTGTTTCTCTCCTCTTAGCTATTGGAATGGCTGCTGCTTTAACCTAAATACCACCTCCCCTAGTTAATGGTTGGTTTCTGAACTCAATCTCATAACAACCAGCACCTCCTGGTGCAGTCCCACTCCCTCCCACCAAGGCTGGTATTGTGGTCCTCTCCTAACGGTTTGGGCTGTGAGCAGTCACCCTTGCTGAGACTCTTCTCTCCATCCTGGTAGGTTTAGTTGTTGCTTTAGACTCCTTTTTGAAGACTGCTTAGACTAGCACTTTGTAGGGCTTAGATACAGGACAGCTGTTGTAAGGGTTCAGTGCTGACACTTAACACGACTGGCAGTTCAGCTGGTTAATTCAAAGGGAATAGGATTAAGCGAATACAGCAGCTGTAGCTTGGCAAAGCAGGGGAGGGTCAGGGTTTGCTAGATTATATAGACAAATGCAAACGACTACTAAACAGCCGGAGCATGAAAACATAACTACATCGTATTGTACTCTTCTGTTGACTTATGTGGTGGATTACCACTCTCTTAAGTTTCCCAGCCTGTTTGTTCACTTAGGAGGGCAGGCTCCTAGGATGACTGCTCATCACAGTGACACAGAGCAAAGAGTTATGGATTTCTGACTTACTGAAAATGGACTGCAGTGTGTGTGTGTGAGTGTGTAATCAGACAAGCAAGGTCAGAATTTGTAAAATGATGAGATATGGCTGAATGTTGCCTGAATAAGACCAACAGGCTCAGGGCTGTGCTACGTAACTGGTGAATGTACTAGCTACAGTGCTGTTCTTACAGATCTTTGGATAGTAACTCATGTTAAAGAGCTCTATGCTGTGCAACAGTATATATTGCAGTAAGTGAATATTCCTTATGTTGGCTAGAATTTATCTGTCTATTTCTGAGGTGTTGAAGATATGAAATCTATCATGCATATATATAAGCCTAGTCCTAGGAATGTCACAGACCTACTCACAGAACAGACTACTATTTCCAATTTTGCACAGTATTTGAACAACTGAGTAGCTATGAATACTCTGGCCATGAATACTATCAGTATGCTACAATTTTCTACGTTTTAGCCATTCACTTACAGTATTCTAGTGCAAAATTAAAGCCCCTAGTTGTTACTATCTTTAAGGCTCATTTCTTGATTAATCATAATTATGAGCACAATAATTAAAAAAATTAAAATAACTATTCTGTGGTCAAAAAAAAGGTGTTATTTCAGACAGACAGTACTTCATTCTTATGTTTTCAGTTTTGCTGAGTAAACTTAAAGATTGCAGTTACATAAGCTGCTTGGTATAACTGCACAGACAATGGCTTCTTTTGTAAATATAAATGTGCTGAAAAAAGTCATGTAATAGATTTCAGATGAAAGAATAACTCTGCCTCATATAACCTGAAAGATGATGCATACACAGAATCTAATTATACATATTATATAAGGAAAGTTAAAAATACACTATCTTTTAAGTTGGAGGTAGATCCCTAACTATGGCTCACTACAAGCAATAAGGAACTGATTCCTTATCAGCTTCGCTGAGGTCAATGAAAAGATTCAGATGTGCTTCCTTTATGGTGAAACAAATGTTTTTGGAGAGCGTTTATCTTAAGAAATCAAGGTTGGTGATCACTCTAATAGGTTGACACTACCGAAGATGCTGTATAAGAAATATTAAAAATACAAGGTATTAAGATCAACTGGGAAGAATTTCAAATGTGAATAAATACCACTATAAATATTCTAATTCTGCAGTGATATATCATGGAGTAATTAATCCAGGAGAACCAATCTTCTTGGCGGGGAATAACCAGGTTTATAATAAGCATACTCCTCTGGACCTTCCATTTCATTCCCTTCCTCTCCTTCCACGTGCAAATGCATTTTCTGCATGCAAAGCGTGTATTTATTTGCTTTTTTAGATTAAACTAGCTAGTGTCTCATGGCATACAATGTCTATGTCACATGAGCGAAGAAGGCCAAATTAATCAAGAATATGGGTATCTAACATCAGAGTTACAAAGGTTGTAGACATATTTCTGCTATTCCACTGGACATAGAACTACCTGTACCTATAAAGAATTTATGTAGTGACTGTGACTACCTTTGATCAGAACACTTAGACATTTCCAGGAGATAGAAATTTGCATGTCAAAAAACCAGCTCTCAGTTAGTCTGTAGAATGACTGAAAGAACAGAAGTACCATAAAGTCATTTGCTTAAAAGGCATTCTTTATTACAGAATTACAGTTTTTGGTTACAAGTTAGTGCTCAGAACGATAATCCATGCCTGAGTTTACACTACAGAATCTAAGGATGAATTTTTTTTTTTTTTCTTAGAAGCATATAACTTTACTTCGTTTCCTCTAGAATTTATTTTAAATTCAGGTTTGGTGGGGTTTAGAGAATTTGGTTCTTTCTACAGAAATGTTTTTTTCTTGCAACCTTGCCAAAATACAGAATATTTTAAAATTACAGAGATGCCCAGAAAATACTCTCTGGTATATTATCCATCCAAATTTACTATTTTAAACCTAAAACATGTTAAGAAATCAGTCTAGTTAACATTCCTGTAGTATTTAAAGGATTAAGGTATTTATCTTAGATGGCTACAATAGGCACAAAGTTGAGTGC